ACTTTTGTAGGGGGTGTGAACATTAATGAAACATTTCCTAGGGGTGTGGGGCATAGAAAAGGTTGGGGACCACTGCATTGAGGCACAATTAAGTTTATCTAGTTCAGCATAACCTAAGCCACATGTCAGGTTAAACATATCATAACACAATGGTGTATCCACAGGCATAGGACTGAGTCATTAGAATAAAAAAGGTTAGTTGGTTAGTCTGGCTGATTCATTTGTGACTCAGCAAGTCGTAGGAACTTGGGCAATCATTTTATCAGGTTGTGTGAACAACTAGGCCATCACATTAAACCATCGCCTGATTTATATATTTGGCCACCAAATGTAAATACAGCCATTTCTGCTTTGATCACACCAAGTTAGGATATAAGGCTTAGGGCAGTTATTAAATCTGGAGGAAAATTAGTTGCTGGCTGGGGAATTCTGGGAGTTGAAGTTCATACATCTGAAACCTGCTAAGGTTGAGAAACACTGATTTAAGGTGTAGTGTGAACCCAGCTCTGGTCTTGTCGCCAATATTGATTTGGAGTATTAACTAATTTGCCTCCACATTTAATTTCAGAAAAAGGGAAGGATGCTGTAGTTTTATGGCTAGAAAACTCTCTTTTTTGGACCAGCTTTGAGAAAATAAATCTATTTTCCTGCAGCTTACCGCAATGTAGCTGTCAAAGCAGGAATACTACTTAGGAACGTGAAGAGAATAATAACAAACATGAAAACCAGGAGAAGAGTCCTTCTTTCACATGAAGATGTACACTTCCCTGCTGTAGCCAAGCCAGAGACAGGAGTAGTGGGTCCAAGAATGCAGCTACAGTCATGATAAACCTTGTGAAAGAAGAATAGGAGTTTAGAACAGCCACTCCCCGCTGTAACACAAAGGTGTCTCTTCCTTTTCTTTGACCAATGTTGCTCAGGGGAAACAGACCCCAGTTGAGTGGTACAGCTCATACTTTGCATGCAAACACTCCTAACTTCAGCTCACAGCATCTGGTGTGTACATGCTGTCAATATAAACTTGAAATTGGCAGTCTGTAATCCGTGGGATAAATGGAAAAGCCCTCCAAGAGTGACCTCCCTTTAAACAGCTGGCTTTGTTTGGAAGGTGTGAGTGTGTGGGGAAATAGTAATGGGCAAAAGAGAAAGAAAAGCCATGATCCCACCCACTTTTGGCTCTGGTCCTACTTAATATTGGCATGTGGAATCCAACAAATTATTCCACAAGTATGTGGCCCTCAAGAGAGAAAAGCTTCTTCGTTCATGCTCAGAAGGTCCCATTTATTTTAGGGCAATTTTCCATGAGAATGCCACACCCTACACCAGTGTTTCTCAACCTTGGCCACTTGAAAATGTGTGGACTTCAACTCCCAGAATCCTGGGAACTCCCGTGCTGGCTGGAGAATTCTGGGAGTTGGTCCACACATCTTCAAGTGGACAAGGCTGAGAAACACTGCCTACACAGTCATCTCTGTATCTTTTCTGTTTGTGTCCTGCATACACAGAACATGCTTGATTCACAGCATTTGTGATTAGGAATCTAAGCAAAATTTATCTTTCCATCCATCCATCCATCCATCCATCCATCCATCCATCCATCCATCCATCTTTCCACACATAAACACAGAGTCAACCTCAACCCTTTGGTCACACATCAACAGGGTTTGGGCATGAGAAGGACTGAGAAAACAAGTAAAGAGTGACATTCCACACAGACCTTCTTCCCACTATCATGACTCATTGACGCTTTCTTGCATGCAGCATGGCAAGGGGAGTAATAAGTTATGCCATCATTTCCACACACAGGATTATAGGTCTCGCGCAGGCAGTGGCACTCCATGTTGCAGGGGTCAGACAGGTTGAGGTGACCTTGCAGTAGGACGCTAAACAAAGCATATAATTGGTCAACATATATTCTTCCTAGTATCATCAGCTATGACTCTTTAAAACAACAGTGCAAGGCAAGGAGATTTACCCAGCTAAGGGTTATTGATACATCTCAATAGTCATTAGATGCTAGTTTGAGACCAGCAAGAGGTGGCATCTATGTCGGCCATATAGCATCCTTGGGCACCTATCGATGCCTCAGATCCCAACTTTAATGGCTGTCCTGCCCCCTCCTGGTACATTTTTTTTTTAGTAATCAGAAATGCCTGTATACTTCCAACAACGGCTCAGAGGTAGCAGTCCCCTGGAAGACTGTAAAGAAAATCCAAGTACTGTAGTATTTGTGAATCACTTATTAAAAATCAAATGGCTGCCACTCTCTGCATAGCCCTGGAGATGGATAGATGGATAAATGGATAGGTAGATACAGTGGATGATAGACAGTAGATGATAGATAATATATACAGTAGGTGACACAGAAAGAGGAAGAATAGAACATAGATAGACAGATAGATAGACAGGCAGACAGACTGTAGATGGATGGATGGATGGATGGATGGATGGATGAATATGATGGATGGATGGATGGATGGATGGATGGATGGATGGATGGATGGATGGATGGATG